GATGGGAAGGGCTCGGCATCACCGTTCCCTCTCGAATCCGAAGACTCGGCCTCCATTAACGCCACTACAAAGGGGAAAGAACGACATTGGAAGTGAATTCTTAAGAGTAAGTAAGAGTAGTTTGTTTGAAAGAAAGATAGGAGTTGCATTCGATTAAAAATCCTAAGACAAAAAAAACAACTGTGCCCGTGGAGAAGGACGAGGGTCATTGAACAAGGCATTGATATGACATTAACGGACATTCAATGATCTCACAATAAAAGCCGTCCCAATCCCATTGCGAATCAAACCGCAATCTTGAAACTTACGATCTGCTAAATCACTAGGCGGAACATATGAACTGGGATGCGACTCTGTTGAAGTTCGTCGCCTGCGGTGGCTCGAAGGCACCGAAATCTCGGATGCCGCTGCTGCAGCCGACGGTGGTCGCGATTCTGACGCCACTTCACTCTCTGACATCAGTCGCTGTCGAAGCTCTTCACTATGTAGAAAGGCGTTGAGATGACTGGTGTGCCGTCTGCTGAGGCTGGCGTAGCTGCCATATTCAACCAGTCGACCAGAATCCAGAACAATCACGCGATCAGAGGCTGCAATTGCACTAGGATGATGTGTGGCTATAATACGCGTTCGACCACCCAAAAGACCCCCTCGACCAAGAACGTGTTTTAACAGATGCGAGGCCACATGAGTGTCGACAGCAGCTAGGGGATCATCGAAGAGGTAGACGTCCGCATCAGCATAGCAGGCTCTAGCAATACTGGACAGAAATAATTAAATTGCTACTGATTTTTACAAAGTAAAAGTTATATGAAAGCTCACCTAACCCGTTGTTTCTGGCCCCCTGAGAGGTTAACTCCTTTATCTCCGATGTCCGTGAGATCCCCGTTGGGCAGCAACTTGAGATCGTGTTCGAGTGCGCAGGCCTTGATTATTTTAGCATATCGTTCAGGGTCGTAGGGACGATGGAAGAGAATGTTGTCCCGTAAAGTAGCATTAAAGATCCAAGCCTGCTGCGAAACTAACGCCAGGCGACCCTGCATAAAGTGAGCGATTAAGGCGGAGCTAAACAAAGGAAGATTAGTAATGACCAACCTTGATGTTGATACGACCGGAAACGAGTTCCATGTTACCGAGGAGAGCGTTGAGAAGACTGCTCTTACCGCACCCCACACGACCTACGATAGATGTTGACTGGCCTTCTGGGAAGTAGGCTGTAATGCTGAAAGAATAAGCAGAGACAAGCCCATTATTTGCAAAAATACTTGTTTATTAAACTAAATGACCTATTATTTTGTCAAAATAGGTCTCGTGCCATTCGTAGAAGACACCAAGGCCGATAATACAAAAAGGGAGAAATAAAAAACAAAACTAAAAGTGCATCTTTTCAGAATAAAAACAGAAAATTGCCTCTTCTTGCTAAGCTTAAATTCGTTTTTGAGCAAACTATGCAAATAGCTATCAATGTCTACCGCAACGATTTCAAGGATCCAGTGACAAA